GCTAGCTGAAAGAATACCATTTTTATCCTCGGATCTCCCTCAGTGTCCATCCCACAGTCTCTGTTGATCCACTCTCTCTCCCAGCTCAATCTCTGTCCTTCCCGAGCATGCGCCCCTGACATTTGAATTGTGCTAACAGCCGCCCCCTTTGGGCAAACAGCGCCTGGCTGAGGTTTTCGAGCGTGCTGTTATTACCATCATGTTGTGCGCGCCGTTGCCGTGCCGCTCTCCCTCCTCCAGGGCTCGACCTGCACTGACGCACATGGGCTCCCTGCACTGGAGCCGCAGCACAACACGGATTTAGAGAAATATATAAACACACCTAGCTGACATTACATTACCATACACTCTCACACTCGCACACGCACTCACAGCTGACATTTATCTTCAAATACCATGACACCCTTCCTCTTTTATTAGATCCCCTCACTGTGCAAAGATGAGAGTAATTAGAGAGGAACAGCCCTCGCTCTCTTCCGTCCCTTTTTATTGCTTTTCACTCGTCTCCTTTCTGTGAGAGTGAGAGATCCTGTGGCATACAATGGCGTAATATACCCCCACAGGAGCCCTGCTGAGGCTGTGCTGTTTTGGAAGTGGGGGGACGGGTCTCACACTGTCAACCGGTTACAGTTGCCAGGCTTTTAGTTTTTCAACCGAATTGAAGGGCAACTTTTGACACGACTCTTATTCAGGACTAGCTAGAGATTCTTGGACTTTTGTTGCTGGATTTCCTCTTATTACTTGCAGGATGGTCCAGAAGTCTGAGACCACATTGAAAGTGGGATTCAAAATCAAATTTAAATCTAAAAATAAGAAATGTTTTATATCGAAGGTAGGTGTTTGCACTCAAATATATGTATTTATATATTATACACTCACCGGCCACTTTATTAGGTACACCTGTCCAACTGCTCGTTAACACTTAATTTCTAAGCAGCCAATCACATGGCGGCAACTCAGTGCATTCAGGCATGTAGACATGGTCAAGACAATCTCCTGCAGTTCAAACCGAGCATCAGTATGGGGAAGAAAGTTGATTTGAGTGACTTTGAACGTGGCATGATTGTTGGTGCCAGAAGGGCTGGTCTGAGTATTTCAGAAACTGCTAATCTACTGGGATTTTCACGCACAACCATCTCTAGGGTTTACAGAGAATGGTCCGAAAAAGAAAAAACATCCAGTGAGCGGCAGTTCTGTGGGCGGAAATGCCTTGTTGATGCCAGAGGTCAGAGGAGAATGGCCAGACTGGTTCGAGCTGATAGAAGGGCAACAGTGACTGAAATAACCACTCGTTACAACCGAGGTATGCAGCAAAGCATTTGTGAAGCCACAACACGCACAACCTTGAGGCGGATGGGCTACAACAGCAGAAGACTCCACCGGGTACCACTCATCTCCACTACAAATAGGAAAAAGAGGCTACAATTTGCAAGAGCTCACCAAAATTGAACAGTTGAAGACTGGAAAAATGTTGCCTGGTCTGATGAGTCTCGATTTCTGTTGAGACATTCAGATGTTAGAGTCAGAATTTGGCGTAAACAGAATGAGAACATGGAACCATCATGCCTTGTTACCACTGTGCAGGCTGGTGGTGGTGGTGTAATGGTGTGGGGGATGTTTTCCTGGCACACTTTAGGCCCCTTAGTGCCAATTGGGCATCGTTTAAATGCCACGGCCTACCTGAGCATTGTTTCTGACCATGTCCATCCCTTTATGGCCACCATGTACCCATCCTCTGATGGCTACTTCCACCATGTCACAAAGCTCTAATCATTTCAAATTGGTTTCTTGAACATGACAATGAGTTCACTGTACTAAAATGGCCTCCACAGTCACCAGATCTCAACCCAAAAGAGCATCTTTGGGATGTGGTGGAACGGGAGATTCGCATCATGGATGTGCAGCCGACAAATCTGCGGCAACTGTGTGATGCCATCATGTCAATATGGACCAAACTCCCTGAGGAATGCTTCCAGCACCTTGTTGAATCTATGCCACGAAGAATTGAGGCAGTTCTGAAGGCAAAAGGGGGTCCAACCCGTTACTAGCATGGGGTACCTAATAAAGTGGCCGGTGAGTGTATATATATATATATATTTGCTAGTCAGGGATATTGTATTGTTTTTGAGTATCGATGATATACACACACACACACACACACACACACATATATATATATATATATATATATATATATGTATATATACATACATACAGGCTATATATATATATATATGTGTGTGTGTGTGTGTGTGTGTGTGTGTGTGTATATCATCGATACTCAAAAACAATACAATATCCCTGACTATATATATATATATATATGTATATATACATACATACAGGCTATATATATATATATATATATATATATATATATATACACACACACATACATATATACACACACCCACATACAGTCTGTGCATAATTATTATGCAAGTCAATATTCTGGTGTTTTTCCAAGCACATTTAACCAATTCCAAGCCATATCAATCTTAATAACTATTAATTTTGTATTTTCTCATTTATAAATGATAATTGTTAATGAGAGCTGGAAGTGAAAAATGTCTAAAATTCATATTATTAAGCAGGTTTTCTTTTACAACGAAAATGGGATTCAATCCACACTGAAAAGTCAGAAATTATTAAAGGTGCAGTAAGCGATTTCTAAGAAATGATGCCACTCATGCCTGTGCTGTGTTGGTTTGGGGGCGAAGCTATCAAGATAGGGGTGTGATCTATTTGGGTAGGTACGTGTTTGTTTTGGTGATTTCATATATCAACAGCGTTTGTCAGAACTCACTAACTGCACCTGTAAATGCCTATGAGAAAGATGGAATACTATAGAAATTGCATTTAAGGCATGACCATTGACCAAGAAATGCTCATTGGGTCAGCAGGGTCACAAAAAACAGGTTGAGAAGAAAAGATGCATGTTAACTGCAAAAGAATTAAGGTGAAGAATTAGATGTGAAAACTTTCATTTTAGTGTGTGGTCATCTTTGACATTAAAACTAAGGCATTCTGATTTTCATGGTTTCATGTCTGTTTTTCTATTTTAATTCAAATAGTTATGCTGGTGAAAAGTTTTAAATTAAAATGAAAAATAAAAGCATTTTCAATGGTGGCCTCAGACTTGAACTATTAGTATTTGCACTAAGGCAATGCATTTACTGTTTTCTTTATCATGACCTCAGAGACTTTTTATCATTTTTTTTTATATAATTGCCTGCAGTTTTGGTAGTAAAAAGTAATAAGCAACATTTTGTTTTGTTTTCAAGTAGTAAAGTGTTAAATAACTTTATGAGGTTACACTGACTTTTTAAATTAAAATGCATTAGTTTCCTGTTTATTCAGTATTTAGTAAGTTTAGTGATAAATATAAATGTGAAAACCTCTCTGTATATAATGTAGTCATATTCATAATGTAGTCAATTCTATACGTAATGTGCTTAAGGGGAAAAAAATCTTTCTGAGATACATAGTTTGCTGCTTAGTTTAAACAGAAACTCTGTGCCACCACCAACATTTCTGTAAAGATGCAATACAGAGTATGAGCAGTACTAATACCGGCTCTGCCCCACTTCCAGCCCTATACTATACTATAGTATCAGCAGTTCGGATGCGACTTTGGTAAATGAAATGCCAAATTAAAGCCGCATGAAATGTTGCTGTTGTTATGAGAAACTCATTTTTTTTTGTCAGCTGTCAATTAGGTGTCAAGAAGGTGGCTTTTGCAGAAGCTATAACATTCAAACGTTGCAGTGTAAATACTGCTCTAGAATAATATTTGATATGTGGTACTGATTGTTAAGATGGTATTTTGCTGTTAAAAATCAAGCTCAGTTGTTGTTAATTCACCATAAAGGCACTAGCACCCCATAAAGCATTGCTGACAACTGCAGCTCTCATTCTAAATTAACTTAGCATTTAGATACTCATATGTTTGGATTACATCTCTAAGAGCCTCATTTTAGTTCCCAAAGCAATAAGTCACAGGTTGGTAGTTTCAGTGCCTGCCTGTTCCAATGAAATCCGAGTGGTTCCGTCAGATGGGCCTGTTAAGTGGGCTTTGCTTGTAATGCCCCTCTTATTGCCTTCATCACCATGCTACAGTGGCTTTATTTGCTCTGCTAAACTTCCTCATGGCCTTTTAATGCTAGTGGAATTGATTATTAACTGCTGTGACCATTCAAGGTTCTCCAGTTCTCAGGTGTGGAGGATTTTCAACCATGTGCTGTTGGGTAAGAGCTCAGGTAAGTCAATGGTCATACATTGTGGTGGCTTGTAATCATTTAGAAGAGCCTATAGTGCATTGGCAGCTGAACGGTTGTGGATTCAAACCCTTAAGTCCTTAATTTGTCAGCATTATGACCATGATCAAGAAACTTACATGGCGTTTACATCCCATTTTATGTTTGGAATGTGACATTTATGAGGGAAACAGAATATTTGGAAGTTTTATCTGGAATTCTTTGGATGGTGAAAAGTAAGCTTTCCATACCAGGAATGGGGTCACCGGCTCCCACGTTTGAGGATCAGAATGTGGAAGCTCAGTGAAGTTCACCCTTACCAATGGTAACTGTTTTGATCTTAATCAAGCACCCGGATTGGTACTGCTGGTGCACTTTGGGAAATGTAGTTCTTTGAGAATCATTTTTTAGATTCAGCTCAACAATGCTTGCTAAATGAGACTACAGAGGTTGTCTGGGACATTAAACATCAGCTCTTGCAGACTATATAACTCAAACTTTCCAACTTGAAGATTTAGCATAATGTCAGAAGCATAATGGTGGTGGTGATGTTGAAGTCATGTGTAGTTCGTTTAGGCTATATCCTAACAAAACATTCTAGATGGCTATATATATATACATTTGCCATACAAATGTGTGGAGGGTCAGTGAAGAGAAACTATATATAAATTTGCCATAACAAGTGTAGAGGATTAGTCCTAAAGGCGAGATAAAGATAAAGAATATAAAATAAGACTATACATTGATTGAGATATTTGCTAGTTTATACAGCTTATAGAACTACAGAACTAAACTTAGAAACTTTATTCTGAACTTTATGAAAGCAATGAATTCAGTCCCACGTTGACATCCTATGGCACCCGAAGTAATAGGACGTTTGACAGGCAGGTTTCAATTAGCGTGACTGCACGTCTTGTATCTTTTAATAAGAAATCCGCCGCTGCTGTGAGGGGAAAAAGCTTCAATGTTCTCTGCTGCATCTTAATAAAAATATATATAAAAAAAGAGAAGAAGAACTGTGTTTCCACAGCAACTGGCACCTGAGTAACGGCGGAGACGTGCTTGAAAGCATCAGGTTAGAAAATGACATCTTTGCATCCTGACGTGTCCGCATTGATCCCGTGTCATACCCAATTACAGCGCGTGCTGTCGTACAGGCGCGTGCTATTCAGCACAAGAGCGCCTCTTAAACGAACACACGCTGTCGCACTTCTTCTCAGATGGCTCAGGAAGTGGTTTTAATGAACACCTGCCCCATCCCCCTTTCTTTACCACCTTTCCATACACTTCTCGTGTTTATCTTAGCGAAAAAACGCAGCGACGTCGATTTCCGCTTTGAATTCGGATGCGTTGAGAGTGGCGGTATGATTGGCAGCATTTAAAACTGAGAAATCTCTCTGTAATCTTTAATTATACAACGTATTTATCTTTCATTATGACAAGGAACTGATCAATACTCCCTCTAGATCTGATTCTTCATCCTAGTTCAACACTTTGAGGGTTATTTATTCATGTTTTATGCCTGGTCTGATATTTATAATCACAGTTTGAGAGGAATCAATATTTTCTTTTCTTCTGAGAGAAGACAAAATATATACCAGATTTTCTCCTGAGGTTTTAGTGCAATCTTTCACTCTTATGTTGACTGTCTTGTCCCACTGCTGCACTTGTTTCTAGGAGCAGTCTGTCAGCATTTGAAGTGCTCTACAGAACATGTTTGATACACTCACAAACTCTGGCCTCACGTTAAGCGCTTACACGCCACGAGCGATTCGACCTGACGGAAACAACCCATGAAATCTCAGGTAGGTGCTTGATTCCGCCTGAAATGTGTACTTAGCCCTAGCGCGGCGAAGAGATCCGTTTGAGCACCACACAGTCAGCTCCTCTTTTACTCAGCCTCTTTCAACTGCCTGAACCCATTTTCTGCTTGTTTCGTTTCAGAGTCTCCTCACCGGGGGAACACGGCCGACAATAGACCCTAATTAAAGCGTGCTGTGGGCTGACAGAGCCCATTCTTCTCCACTGCGTCCCGTTTAAACTGGGCCTCCCTTCCTGTGCCATCCACACCCACCTCACTCCACTAATTTCAAGTGGAACCGTGAAGGCTTAATGGAAGACCTCGGATGACAGGAAGTCAACGCGACCTGGTGGGTCTCTCGAATAGTTTCTTTTGTGTTTTCCTTTCATACAGTTACAGCTCACAGTTTCTTCTATGCAATTTATTTAATTCAGTATTTGCAATTTAGAGTGGTGGTCAGATTCCATTGGAGGCCCGTGGCATTCTGAAACGGGATCCACTAGCCCGGTCCACATTCCATCCCTGGCTTTCCAACACTTCTGTTATCAGTTTGTGTTTCTGTGAGTCAAATGCATTAAAACAATTCTTGATAACTGGGGGAAAAAAGATTGAATTTCCATCACACGACATCTATTGATTTTGTCAGACCATATTTCATAAGCAAAACAAGCAGCTGGATTTGGAAACTCAGTTTGTAATCAAACTGGGCAAAACAAACATCTTATCCTTAATGAAAAGAGTGGGAGGAATGCCAGCTAGACCATTACCAAAGCTCCGCTGAAGCCCTTATAAGTACTTCACAAAATAGTCTGACAGATGGGCCACAGCTCACTACCAACCCACAAAACCACCTTGGTTGGTTTGGTCAGACATAAAACCCACCGCATAATGTGGAAATCACAGGCTCACAGCCAGACCACATAAAATATCTAAGCCTGTTGTCCAAATGTCCAATCCAGGGATATTACCCAATGGACACTTCCGTGACCACTTCAAACCTGGGAGTAATTCTAGCAGCTGTGTTGGCTATGGTGGTGACTGGGCTGGGCTGCATTAACAATAGGGCTAGGTGGGGCTGAAGCCTCAGGGCCCGAGCAAGGAAGGGGCCAAGGGGCCCGTATTTGTCTTTGGAGTAGATTGACGTGGCCGTCGGGAGCACCTGAACTTTTCCCGGTGGACACCACTCCCCCACATATTAAGCGCTGCTAAGTGGAGCACCTGGGAAACAGACCAAAAGTCATGTGATGAAATGGCTACCTGCTCATGGGCAGTGTTCTGGTTGTGCTTTAAATGTCTACAAAAGTGGGGACATATTTATTTAAAATCATTAATATATTATTCGTAACACTTTATAAATAAGGTTTCGTTAGTTAACATTAGTTAACTAGTTAACATGATACTTCTACAGCATTTATTAATCTAAAATTAATTTGAACATTTACTAATACATTATTAAAATCAAAAGTTAACTGAAGAATTTGTTTTGCACAGAAGAAAAATCACAGGTTTGGAACGGCATGTGAGTGTGGAAACACTGTTTTTAAAGAGCAGGTGAGGTAACTAGAAATGTGTTTCTAGCTGGTCTATGTCTATTGAAAATTTAAGACAGACATTGTTAATAAAACTGTCAAAACTCGGAGGAAACCATCAAAAGCTTAGTAATTAGACACAATGGAAGACTTTGTTAGTCGATATTTTTTTTATTACTGTTATTATCTTTTGTCAATGACGAATTTGTTTCTGCAATCCGGTAGAACTAATCGAAGGTAAATAAACACTGCACTTGTTAAACTCAAAGAGATATTAGCACAGCTTGGTTTATACTGACTCAAGAGTTCATTTTTTACATGTAAGGCTGAATTTGTCTTGAAAGTCACTGCAGGACAACTAGAAATCCAGTGTTCCTTGCACTGGTATTATAACAGCTTGAGGCTGTGTATCCATGCACTGGGAAAGCTCATTTCAAACACTCGAGAGTTGCTGAAAAAAATGACCCGACACATCCTGGTAACTCTTCACATGAATGAAAACATCTGTCAGAGCCTTCTTGCTGTGCAGAGACAGAAAATCGCCCGTAGGGTTTTTCTAAAGGCCTTGAGGCTAGATATCTAGACAACCAGCATCAACGTGCTGTTCCACAGATGTAGTTTACTTCCAACATCACTTGAGTAATGAATGCACAGAAATGTTGAACCTGTGGCAACCCTCGTTTGATACCTTTGAAGACTCTAGTCAATATGTATCTTTCCTAGGGTAGATAATCATCTTTTGGAAGATACTCATAAGTTTTCCATAACCTAGTGAGCTGCCTACGGACAGTATCATAGCAAAGTGAAAGCTATGATGTGGAAGCTATTCTAAAAGGTACGCAGAAAAAAAATCATGTTGCCTTCTGAATCAATCTTTTTTTTAATGTTTTTTGAATTAAGTTTCTTTTGTTCTTTAAGGCTGCATTTATTTGATAAAAAAAAAGTATTGTGAAAGATTATTACAATTTAAAATAACTTTTCTATTTTAATATATTTTGAAATCATTTTTTCCTGTGATGGCAAAGCAGAAGTTTTAGCATTTCGGCATTAACTTAGACAAGTAAAAATGAATTAAAGATAGCAGACAAGTCGAGGATAACTGAGCTTATTCATTTAATTCTAATGCAAATTTTATTTTTTTCAATTATTCCTTATTTTGAATTTTTTTTTAGTTTTTTTCTTTTACATTTTTTAAAATGAATTTGTATATAATCGTTCTTAGTTACGTTTCCCTATATTAGTGTACAGTAGCAACATTTTTGCTACTTTTAGTACAGTGAAGAGCAGCGAGAGGACAGGAGATTAGAGGGAGAACAGAATATGTTGCAAGCCAGACTCAAACTTGTACAACAACTCAAGTTGTCAGACCATACAGGTGATGAGTGTGACCTCATTGTCTTATTTTAAATGTATAATAAACTAAACATTGCCATATCTCGAGAGACTGAAACTTGTGACAACATGTGACCTATCTATTGGTTCGACATGTACGGCTCACTGATTTCATTTCCTGGACATTTTTAATAACATCATGCCCAATCAGAGGACTGTGGACTGTTAGTTCAGGGTCAAATATTCTGGTTAAATGGAGCAGAATGATTAGCAATGTTCTCACAGGTCGCTCGTTGCTGTGTGCAGGTCAGTGAGGAGATGTGTAAGGGCAGATCAGTTTCCAGACAGCTGCTGTTTGATTGGTTAACTGCCTCTAATAATTTGGAAATTTGATTTCAGGTATACTTTCACGCACAGACATGCTTATGCTAACAAACAATATGAAGTGTCTGTAAGCCGCAGATGTCATCTAGATGACTTGAATTTCTCTGTCTGTTGTTTATGCAACAATTCAGTTAATTAATTACAGTAAAATATAAGCTTTCATATTACCCCTGTCCACTGGTGGAAGCACCTACAATGGAACTGGACCATGGAACAGTGGAAGAAGGTCGCCTGGTCCGATGAGTCCCATTTTCTTGGATGGCCGTGTACATGAGCGCCGTTTACCTGGGGAAGTGATGGAACCAGGATGCACTGTGGGACGACGACAAGCCGGTGGAGGGATTGTGATGCTCTGGGCAATGTTCTGCTGGGAAACCCTGGGTCAAGCCATTCATGTGGATGGAAATTTGAGATCAGGTACACCCCTTCATGACAATGGTGTTTCCTGGTGGAAGTGGCCTCTTTTAGCAGGATAATGCACACCACACACTGCACACAATGTTCAGGAATGGTTTGAGGAACATGAAGATGTTGCCCTGGCCTCCAAATTCCCCTGATCTCAATCCAGTTGAACATCTGTGGGATGTGGTGGACCAACAAGTTCGATCCACGGTGGTTCCACCTCATATCCTACAGGACTTGAAGGATCTGCTGCTAATGTCTTGATGTTATGTCCCACAGGACACCTTCAGGGGTCTTGTAGAGTCCATTCCTTGGCGAGTCGGACCTGTTTTGGCAGCACCCGGAGTGTGTGTGTGTATATATATATATATATATATATATATATAAAATTTGCTGCTACACACGTTTTTTCATCATGGTAGTTTACACATTCTCATCTTCTGATTTGTTCAGTCCGTGATATTTCATATACCTCATCCTTTCTCTTCATACCTTTATTCAGTCTGTTTCTGGGTGCTGGCGTACAGCTCAGTTACACATGCTTCACCTGGTACTTCAACAGCAGTAGGCTCTCATGTGAAGTACCTCTGTCGTTCATCTGTGTGTGTGTATGTGTGTCCGGCCCACTGCCTGAGTCTGGGCTATGCTTATTCCTAGTCACACCTACTCTCGGTGGACTGAGGACCCCATCAAATTCTGTCTTTCTCATCTCATCTATTCATCATACTCTCATCTCCTCTGTGCCTTTTCTCTGTGTTAATCTGTAGTAGAGGATGGAAGCAGAGAATGAATGAATCACATTATCTATCAAGGCCATCGTGTAGGTCATTACATCATGATAAACTCAAGCCAGTTATGATTACAGGCGGTGCAAATTAAAAGGCTGTCATCCAAACCATGAAGCCGCCCCATGATAAAGCACCTCAATCTTATACGTTTGAGCCCCTAAAGGAATATTACATCCAAAAATGAAAGCTCTGTCATCATCATTTACTCATATATACTCGTTACAAACCAGTATGACTTTCATTCCTCTATAACAAATCTTAAAAATACATGTATACATTTATACTGCTTTTTGGAGCTTAAATGGTGAAATTGTATTATTTTACTGTACTATTCTAAGGGGATTTTAGTAGCAGCACTAACTTTTTTGTTTCATTATCAGAAATCCTTGTTTATTCAAAATATACTTTATACATTAACAGTGTGAAATGTCTGATTATGAATGCCTAATATTTCCAAAACTATCATGGTTTCGTTGAGAGTACTTTACACTCCAAAGGGACCTTATTAAATTAGCTAATGGAAAACATTTCACTGAGGATTTCATATGAAGAGCTATTTCAGTCATGAGAGACAAGGCAATGTGTCCATGTGTGATAGATTTCAATTTTGAATGTGTTTCAAGTGGAGGGGAGAGGCTGTTGAGTTTGCTTGTCTACGTCTAAACATTGAAACAAGATGTGCTCAAATATGTCTCAGATTTCAGAAGTGATCTGGGAAAAAAAATCGTATGAGCCATGTAGAACAACTGTAAACAGATAAAATGCACAGCATGCACATTTGCATAGACCATGGTTCAAAAGTGTGGGGTCATTAAGATGTTTTTATTTATTTGAAAGAAATTAATACTTTTATTCAGTAATGATGCGTTCAAATGATCAAAAGTGATGGTAAATACATTGATAATGTTACAAAAGCTTACTATTTCAAATAAATGCTGTTCTTTTGAACTTTTTCTATTGAAAAAATGTATCACGGTTTCCACAAAAATAGCAAGCAGCCGTTTTCAACATTAATAATACAACTCATTTATTAATTAAACAAAATGCATTAGTTCA